CTGGTTAGGTGCTGTTATTTATTCAAAGGTCAGGAAGTAATAAAACTTCTCAGCAGAGAAAATGTATTACTAGTGTGGGGAATGGGAAGTGTGAAGGCTGTGACACGGGCATGTTTGGCATGTTCAAAAGTCAGAGAAAAGGGTAGCAGATGAGACCAGAGTCTGGTGGAGGGGTCTAGTTGATTTCCTGTAGGCTTTGAAGTTTCGTTTAAGATCTGGATCTTACTCTGAATCCAGTAGGAAGTCTCTGGGCAGAGCAGTGACATCATTAGATCCAGGTCATCTTGGCAGGTAGACGATGATGAAGGGAATATCAGCAGAGCAGGATGAATGAAGAATGCTGGAACCCTCTCCTCCAACTCAGCAGGAACCACTAGACTAATCACTTCCTAGATCGTCCCTTTATTTTGCTCACTGCTAACCATGGTGTGGTTGCACCACGCATATTCCAAAAACTGAAATCTGGGGATCCATTTTCTCTACCAGGAAAGCACATTACTGCCAAAAGATAGAGAAAATATTTAAGAAATTAGTTAAGTAAACAGTATAGAAAAAAAAATCAAGGCTGGTTTCCAAGGGGTTGACTCTAAATAAATAAAAGGACAGTTATCACTGATGAAGATAGAATTGACTTCACTTAGAGAGGTTTGCAGAATGAATGTCTAGAAATTAATTTTGGACATGTGTAGTTTGGCCTGTCTGGCCTTTCCAAGTGGAGATGTTGAATAAGAAGTTGAACACAGGAGTCTAATTTTAAAGGAAAAAAAATCTGGATTATGATCTCAAAGAGGGAACAATCTTCAAAGAGAATGCGATTTCCTATTTTCCATAATTTAAATGCAGGCCAGTGGCAGTTTTTCAAGAGTCTCATGCAAAATAGGGAGGCAATGTCTGCGTTGATGTTCCTTTTTGGGGACCAAGCCAGATATTCTTTTGTTGCTTTTCTAAATTAAGTTAAATTAACTTTTATTTGCGAGAGAAAGTCTCTGTAGTTCAGGCTTGCCTGGAACTCACTATGTAACTCAGGTTGGGTTTGAACTTAGGACAATTCTCTTGGCTCAGCCTCCCAAGGGCCAGTATTACAGATGTAAGTCACTATGACTGGCTCCTTGATGTGTTTTTAAAAACATTATTTCGAGAACTAAGTAAAGTTTTCCATAGATTGGGAACCCCTCCTGATCTCTTCCTTGTTAATGTCATGCGAGTGCTTCCTGAAAATAGCCAGTCACTGCATCACTGCTCACAATGTGGACCTGGCACTCAGGGACTTATATCAGGTGCATCATAAAATATAAATTCCTGCGCTTAAATACCAGACAGAGTAAGTCATAATAATAGCCAAGGTCCAGGAATCCTTATTTTTACTCACTGTTTAAATAACCCATTGGCATTAATTTTCCCCCAAAAAATTTGTCATTGTGTTGTAGCGTTTAAATATAAATCATCTTTTTGTACTTTTGTAAGGATCTTTAATTGCAGAAGAATTTTAATGATGAGTTGTATAGTTTATATATTTGAATTAGCCTGTTTCATTCTAGATTGATGTGGTTAAAATAGATTTAATTTCAGTCAAATAGATTTCAATCTCGGTTAAAAAAATACCAAAATTTATTCTGCTTTTCTTTTTTCTTTTTTAAACAATAACTTTTTAATACTTTCATTGAGTTGAAAATTTCATGCCATGTATGACCATAGTTAGACCCTTTCCTCCCTTTCCGTCCCCACCTTACTACTCCCCACAACTTCATGTCCTCTATCATTTGTCTTTTTAAAAAATTTTAAGGCCTACAGAGTCTAATTTCCCAAGTGCTCTTTGGTGGAGTCTTTGCCTTGGAGTCTGATTAACCTAGCAGACTTCACACCAGTGGGGAAAACTGACTCTTCCTCTTCCACTGTCTATCAATTGGCAATAGATCCTCAGGGCTGGGGCTTCCTGCCCACCTCCCCCATCCATGCTGGGCCCCTGTCTAGCTTGAGTTTGCTCAGGTACTGTGCATGCCGTAATAAGTGTGTGGGTTCATGTGTGCTTCGTGGTGTCCAGGCAACAATTGAAAAATTAATAATTTCAGGATATAACATAAATTTAGGACAAACTACTCAAAAAAGAAAAAAACTCACTTTAAATTGTGAACACTGATTTGCTGTGGACATTAAGCATTAAATATTTGTGCTTTTTTCCATTGGGCAAATGATGTAATTGTTCACCATTTCCTGGCCCTCTTATGATTTAGATAGAGCTAGAAAACTAGTTGTGGCCAAAAAGTGTGTGCTGTGGCCAGAATGTTTAAATGCCAGTATTCATATTCCTTCTTATACTTGTCATTTTCCATATTTGACATTGCAACTCCTCCATTGTCCTCACTACCCAGGTTGTTATAGCTAGTGACATTCCCCTGCCAGCCCATAATGGAAGTTTGGAGTCAGGGAGAAATACTCCTTTGTAATTTAAGTCTGTTGATTCTGTTGCATAATCCAAAGACTCCTGCCCAATCATTACTTTCTCTAACAAAACGGAGTACCTGGGCCTCAGTGGTCTTGAATTAAATAGGCAGATGCTGTGAGCCAACCTGGGATGTTTCCAACAAGTTGTCAATATTTTGATCATTGACAAAAAAAAAGGTGGAAGTTATATGTATTTTCTCATATATTTCACTATTAGAATATTTAATAAGTAAAAATTAAGAAAAGAAAGTAAAATAAAATCAAGTTACAAACCAGTTGCTTCAAGTGTTCAGATGATCTCTAAATAATCAAATACACAAATATCTAGTAGTAGTGATCTACAGGCACTTCCTGCTCTCTGTCTTTTTAGAATTGTGGCCTTAGACCAGCACCTTAGAAAGGTTTGTTGCAGAGGAAATACAGTGCACCTTATAGTAGTTAATAGTTCAATTTTTTTTTCTCTAAATGAAGGGTTGAAAATAAGTCAAATAGAGTCTATACCTAGGTTTCAAACATGTTAAGATTAGTCTTATGCTGGCATTTTTTATGCTTTTATCACACACTTAGGAAATGACCGTCCCGGGTTTCTAGCCAATCACCAATTTCAAGTACTGACAGTCAACTAAGGATTTTTTATTTTCTCCTATGTCCTGTTAGGAATACAAAACCCACTAAGCTTCCATCATATTTTAAAAATGCAGGTGTATCAGTACTTGACTGTTAACAGCACAATGCTTTTATTGTCAATATTTAAATAGCTTACCTCACCATTAACCAGATCAAGTATTATTTCTTCATGAGCCAGTAAGATGGCTCAACCTGCAAATATGCTTTCTGTGAAAACCTGATGACATGCGTCAGGTCATTGGAAGATGTGAAGGTGAAAGGAGAGAACTGACTCCAAAACCTTGTCCTCTGACCTCCACATATGCACTGTGTCAAACACGTGCTTACACACACACACACACACACACACACACACACACACACACACACGCTAACACAATAATGATAAAGTTTAAAAATTCTGAAAAGCTGTGCTGGAGAGATGCTCATGGTTAATAGTACTGACCACTCTTGTTGAGGACCCAGATTCAATTCCCAGCACCCACATGGTGGCTACAGCCATTTCTAACTCCAGTTTCAGAGGATCCGACACCTTCTTCTGACCTCTACAGGCATTACACAACACAGATATATTTACACATATGTAGGTAATGATGCAATAAAATAAAAATAATAAATGAATTCTTTTAATTGAAAATAATTATTCATTGAGAAAACATGTAATACATGTTATGTATATAAATTATTTATTTTTAGGATTTTGAAACAAAAATTTAGGCAATATTAGCTTAAAGTTTTGAAGCATTGGGTTATAATTTTCCATTCTGCTTTCCTCTTTCTGCATTTTCATGGTCTGGAGACTAGCCTTACTGAATGTTTGAGTTTCCAAATATTTTGCCAACTATGAATGAACTAGGTCAACAGAGGAAAATATTCTCTCTACTGCCTACATTAATATTCTGCTGTTTGAAAAACTGGACTAGTCCATCAATCATTTTGTTAATATTTGTAGCTAGGAATAGAGTTGGAATATCATTTGTAATCCCTCCCCCAATCTTCACTTCATTTAAAGTTATTTTAGTTAGTGTTATGGATAAATAATCTTTTTTTGGACTGACAGAGTAAGAAATGCCTTATAAACAAAACATAACACTATTTTGTGAAAAATGTTTTCAAAGAATTTGAAATAGTGCATTTAATATTACAATCCAAAATCTTAAATTTTCATACTACATTTAATTTAATATATAAATTTGTATTTCAAAAGCACCCATCACTAATAATGCCTGTGTTGGAAAACATAGTCATATATTCATAGATACTAAGCACAAGGAGAGGCAGTATTTTTTGCATTCACTCACATAACAATCTTTCTGAAATATTTTTGCTGCTCAATAAACAATAATCATGGTGACAACAGCACAATTTGACTTCATAGAACTCTAACTGTGGTTAGGCTAATAGTTTAATTAATTTTGATTGTTGTGAATTTTAATTTTAAGAATTATATATTTTCAGCTTAGAAAGCAAATATTCAGTGTTTGACATGGATTATTTCTAGTAAATAACTTTATTTGTATTATGTGCAGGAGTGATATGCCTGCATGTATTTAAGTATACCTGTTTCATGCAGTGCCTGTGGAAGACAGACGAGGGAATCAAATTCCCCGGAACTGGAGTTACAGATGGTTGTTGGCTGCTATGTGGGTGGTGGGATTCAAACCCCGGTCTTCTGCAAAAACCACAAGTGCTCTTAATTGCTGAGCCATCTCTTCAGTCCTGAAAATAACCTAGTAACCTATTGTATAGTGATTTTTTATTATAGAAGCTAATTTCCTATAGCACATGTTAGAAGAGAAATGTCTAAATCTATTAGAAATTTTAGTTTAGTAAGGATAGTTTAGATTTGATATCTTCTCTCAGAACAAATTGGATATTAGTTTATGAATATTTTTAAATTGATAATATTTTAATTTTTCTTTTCCTTTCAGATTATCGATAATTAAAGCGATAGTATAAATGGAAAACTCCAAAATAACAGTAAGTCTTGGCTATCTGAATGCTATATGATTTTAATGTTTTTCTGTAACACACCATATCACAGTTATTTTTCAACTATTCTAATTTCATACGCTGGTATAAGGCATAAAATGAGAGTCTGACTCTGGATTGTAAGGTATTTATGTAAAGCCAGAATATTTAGAGATTTTATTCATTTTAATTATATATGTTTGAGTATTTTGCCGGCATGTATGTAAGTGTATTACATGTGTACTCATACGGGCCGGATCTGCTGGAACTGGAGTTAAAGATGGTCGTTAATTGCCATGTGTGGACTGGGAACTGAACCTGGCTTCTTTGCAAGATCAGTAAATGCTCTTACATGCTGAGCCATCTCTCCAGCCTTGAAGCCAAAGTACTTTTAACTCACCTTTTCTACATAATATCTGCTGAATTTACCAAGCTGAAGTGCAGTCCTATTCTTGAGAAAAGACAACAGAACTAATTACCTTCCAATTTAATGTATCTGTTCCCTGAAATAACTTATTTTCCTTTTGGAATGAATACTTCCAAATTCAGTAGTATCATACTAACATTGGGATATTGTTTCTCTCTACTGAAAATAATATTTGTATTGGAGTTAAGCTTTGTCAGTGAGAAGATCTACTTATCAAATCTAATGAAATTTTGGGTGTAGCCCTTTCTGTATTGGGGTTAGACGATGTCTCTTCAATGGGATACAACTAATCTTTGGACATTGCCATTGCCTTTCAGGACCATGGCTCCTCGTTTGCTTAATACTTAAAATAAAATGTTAATTCTGTAATAAACTAATGCCTCATTATATAGATAGATGATATAGATAGATAGATGATAGATAGATAGATAGATAGATAGATAGATAGATAGATGATAGATAGGTAGATTGAACTCAGATGCAGTGGGTGATAAAAATATTACTTTTGCTTTTTGATGCTGGAAATTGAATGTAAGGCTTTATATGTGCCAGTCAAGGACTATAAAACTGAATTATATTTCCTAACCAAAAATTTCTTTTTTCCATATTACTCATTAAAATAATTTAAAGTATGTATTTTGGCTGTATTAACCCCTACTTTCTATAAAATGCTATTTTTTTAAATGAATTTATGTCCAGCTCTAATATTAAAATATATTTTTATTCATAACATTTGTTACTCAAAGATTTAATTAGCAGTAACCTCAAAGCATAAGAGACAACAATGTTAAACAAAAATAACAAGAAAATGTGTATATACGTACCCATGCATATGTGTCTATATGCACTACACAAAGGAGAATGTGGCATATAACAACCTTTACCTGCTGAGCCTTCTTTCTGGCCCAGGAAGGTAGAACTTTTTCCTTAGTCAAATGGAAAACTATTTGAGAATTTGATCAAAAAATATGAATGGATTTACATTTTTTTTTATTTTTCAAGAATTTCATGCATGGTTACTATATGAACATCATTTTTCTCCCTTCTCCCCCACCTCCTTCCCCAATATACTCCCTGTCCTCTCAACTTTCTGATCTCTTCTTTCACTATTATTGTTAAATGTATGCACAATATCACATATATTGCACTGAGTCCATTTAGTGTTTTAGTGTTGATTATATGCACATGTGTTTAGGACTAGCCACATGGGCTTGGATAATCTATCATAGAGCTCATCCCAGGAGAAAACTGTTAAAGGTTAACTACTAAATGAAAAGAGTCTGCGAGAAAGGCTGTGAAATTATTGCAGTCTTTCAGAAAGATGGATTTGTGTTCAGCAGATGCTTTTAAACAGAGTGAAAGAAATACTGTGATGCATGATTTATAATTTAATTTTTTAAAAGAATTGTTTTATCCTTTGAATGTTTAATACATTTAAGCAATGCATATTGATCATATCCATCCACCACTGTGTCACTCCAACGCTCCCTAAAGCCCCGTACTGCGTTTTCCTTCAAATTTATTCTCCTCTTTTTTGTTGTTGTTATTAATAACTCTTTGAGCCCAGTTAGCACTGCCCATATAAGCATGGGTGTGTGCATCCAATGAGACATGAACAATCTACCAGGTGCCGTGTCCCCAAAGGAGATTGAATCTCTCCCTCAGCGGCCATCAACAGGGCCCTTTCCCAACCATGGAAGAATTGTACTGGCTTGATCTTGTGCAGTTCTTTTTCAGCTTACCAGGTCTTCTGTGAGTTCATGAGTGCAACTCACAACAGAATTAAGTAACGTGGAAATTTTAGCATAATATTGGCATGTAGTGAGCGTCATGTAAATGCTCAATCTTAACCTCATCCTCTTCACCGTTGTTATCACCGTTTTCATTAGCAAAGTCATAGCAGATATCTAGGTTATAATGATAGAACCTTCAAATATTTTATGAATATGACTTCTTTTTTCTTGAAAATGACAAATATTAAGTACATGATTCGAAAAACCACTATACTACAGTTATTTGAGAAGCGTATGCATAACATTTAATGCTTTATTCAACTCAGAATTATTAAACAACTTATAATTAAAATCTATTTCTAAAACAACACTGAATCCAAAGTTACCTTCATTTAAAATTTAATCCCTAGTCATACTTTCTCTCATCTCATTTATTTTGTTTTCAAATGTGTCCTTTGACCTTGTTTACTTTTCCTACTTTTGGCTGTCATTGGATTTAGATGTATTCAGTATATTCTTCTCTATTGTAAATATTTTTAATACTTGCCCTAATTGACGTATATGGCAAACACATATATACAAACATGCACATTACCCATAATCCTTGAGATTTATGCATTAGTATTCAAGTAAGTCATTAAAATTTAAGCAATACAAATATTCATACTTATTTTTTAAAGATACGAAGATTTTCAGGAACTATGATCTGTGTGCATATATAAAATAAGTGATTTAGTCAATCATCATTATTAATTGGTAGGTTAGATCCAAGAAGCATTAGCAAAGTAGAGCATAGTTCTTTTGTGAACTCTTCAAACTCCTTGTGTGATTAGTTTTCTGAGGGCCACTTGCTTTAAGTGAGGTTTATGTGGTACTGAAATCAGTAGTGTTTCATTGTTATTTTATTATGGGTATAACATTTTGTTTGTTTTCTTTATATTTTATCATGAAAAAGTGATGAATATTGCTTATTTTAACTAATATTTCAAATATAAATTTATGTTTTTAAACATACACCTTTGAAAACAAAGACACCAAGTAGGGAAATATTAGTACAAGTAAACCTTTCTGGTTTTCTGTTTTAGTTCTGGCAACTAGATTTACATAGTTTAGAAAATTTGTATGTGAACCTCTCTGGTATATAACAAATTGGCTCATTTGTCCATGTTGTATATTAAATTAGAAGAAAAAGCACATTGAAGATTTATTAAATTAATTATTAGTGTTCTGACACACAATGATTATGGAATAATCTTGAAAGTAAACAAATTGTTCTTGCAAATTTAATGTGATAGTGACCAAACAGTATAGAAATTTTAGATTCAAAAATGTAAATATAGGCCTATTTACCATTGGCCCAGCACTAGCATTCTTTCTAAAAGCTGTTTATTTGGCCTTTGCTGTTGTGACTGAACATGTGTGCATACCTGAACTGCTGTTTAGACACTATCAGATTGTGTGGGGAAATATTGCATTTTTCTTTCTAGTAGTATATATTACCGAGATTGAATTTCTGGATCCTGCCTTGGTCATTGGTGCAGACTCAAATAACAGAAGGAAAAACAGGGAAGTTGATGGCCATTGTGATGGGGGAGGTGGTGGGATAGGTGCAAAAGAAAAAAATAAGGAAATAAACAGTGCTCTCTCCCCAGTTATAGACTCAAATGAGTTCTGACTGTTTTCGATTAGCCTGTGTGCCTGGCGATAATACATGGAAGGTACCATCTTGTACTTTGTGAAAATTCAGTGTTGCAATGCAATTATTTCACATACTACATAATATCTACATGCAAACTAGCTGTATCATGCTACATAGCCAAAGAAGCCAAATTCAAAGGGAAACTAGAAAGCTTGTCTTTGCTAGAGCAAGAAACTCTAGTTGGACTTCATGTTGAACCATTTCACTTTGTTGGGTTTCACCATGCGTGAATTGTTTTAGAACCAAGCTCACTTTCCAGCTAGCTGTAGCTTCTACTCTGATAGGGAACAGTCTAGTCTATTTAGAGTGTAGTCCAGAGGCCAAACTCTTCTGAGAACTGCCTTATACCAATCAGAAAACAGATGCAAAATAATTGAGTGCATTTTAGAAATTTCTGCAAACTCATTTGACTGTGTTATTTTGTGTGCATTTACTCAAATAGTACATTATAGATTTTCTGATATCTTTAAATTTTTCTACCTACTCATTTTTGTTTTAGACATTGAAGCACTAGTCAGTGACAGTTTGGAGAAAAGCATGCCTAGCTTTAACCATAGTTAGAAAAGCACTGTTCTTGCCCTTTTCTAGTTTTAACACAGGTCATTATAGGACAACTCTGATCAACATTAACATGTGTTTTTCATCCTGTGAAACATCAAGACTACAATGAGATTGCATAATTATATCCCCAAAGGAACTTACAGTTTTATTAAAAAGCTTTTCTTTTTTTTCTTAAGAAAATTGTTAAATATTCATGTGAAAACACTCAGTATGCAGTCATATTTAAACACTAAGTAGACTGTCAATAGAAATGTATTTAATTGTGCTAAAATCTGATATCATTTTGCTATAAATGCATCTATTCCTAACTGCTTCACTTACATAGGACATTTCCTTATGATGCTCCTAAAATATTTGTTAGAAAGACATCTAATGAAATATGAGCATATCAAACCAGCATGATTATCATGAAAATTTTGAGCCTATGCATTTCGAAATTATATTTTCATGATCTCATAAAGAAATAATAAAACACCCTAAATCCTGTGATGATGAAGGTTTTAGATAGTTATGCTAACAAAGTGTTTTATTTAATAAACAGCTATTCTAAAGCTCTTCCCAGAGAAAATTATTCACAATAATTGATTCT